GTAGGCGTGGCTGTCCGAGAAAAATGCTGAAGGCTCGGGTTGCACCGTGACCGATCTAGTTCCCGCCCTGCTTGTATGCCTGGCTGCACGCTCTCACCATCGCATCACCACTTGCCCAATTACCTAGTAGTCAACAAACCGAACATTTTTGCGCGCCCCGACTTCCACGACCCTTCGGAGACTCCGTATGCACTGAATACCTCGACTTGCGAATTACTCTCCACGGAAATCAACGATACAATTCCGACAACGATCTCGCGTCCTCCCCCCCATTGACGATCGACGCTAGGTCGATTCCTCCGATTGACCACGACCTCATCACGTTTCAACGACACCACACTTGCGCCTGTTACCTACGAAACCTCGGCGACTGAACTTCTACTACGTGTATCGCGTCCCTCTTTGAAACTTCGGTTTCTTAGTTGATGCGATTGCGCTGTCCTGCTGGCTTGCGCATCCGGCGCCGATGACTGAATCCCGTCTGACAGCCACCTCGGACCGGGACCAGCATTTCATTATCCTCCCTTGCTCATCTGGCACAGCTTCACTCAGCATCAGTATTCCATAATCTATCGAACAGGCAAGAATCAAGTTCATATTTTGGGGGGCCGGTCGTGACGCAGGCAACGAGGCAGGAAGGGCCCTCCCCCGATGCCTGGAATCGTCAACATGGAGAATGGGGGTTTGAACGGCACACATCCGAACCATGACAGAAACCTAAAGGTCAACGGCGCCAATGGTGGAACGATGGAAGGACAGCCGAATAAGGGCAAGGCGCCCGCCGACACCCCTGGGGCCGGTAACATGGCGAATGGCCTTTCCGGCGGAAACTCTCAAAACGACTCCCAAGGAAAGCAACAATCGCAGATGTCGACCGGGTTGACATTACAGCAAAAACCGAGGATGAACGACCTACCCGAGGAGATTGTGCACATCACCCAGGGGTACATTCCACTATCGACGATTGTCGCGCGACTGGCGCAACACACCCACGAAGAGCTACAGAAGACCGTCATCGAAATGGGTTCCATCAAGTGGGCACCTCCTGCAGTGAACGGGAATACACCCCATGGCAGCGATGCACCTGACGATATGTCAGAAGGAAATAAGAGAAAGAAGATGCTCATGATCAAGTTTGCACAAGACGCACATTCCAAATGGGTCAAGGCCCTCGTCATTACGGACTGGAGCAAGAACGCGGAGGCTGTTAGCAAGCTTATCGACATCAAGGCACACATTGACTCGAAACGTATGCTATATGACTACTCCCAGGACTTGCTGATTGACCTGAAGCGTTCGCTGGACAACGCCCGACTTCCCAACCCTGACTTGAAGACGGCTCTGCAAGTCCTAACGACTGGTGAAGCATCATGGATTCCAGAGGTAGGTTATCCGGATCTTGTCGAGGCGGAGATGGGAGCTAATCTGTCGTAGCCTGGATATATACCACCACCGCCATTGACAGCAGAAGAACAGCTGAAATGGATCGATGATCTTAACACGATGCTCTCTCTTCGCCTGAATCTGGAAGACTACGACAAAATACCACATCAGTTCAAGAATTACAGTATTCAGTCTGGTAGAGTCACTTTCGTAGTGAAGGGCGAGTTTGAAGTGGATTTGACAATCGCCGATGAGGACTTTACCCAACAATTCTGGTTCATTGACTTCCGATTCGCCTTTTCGCCATCGTCAAGCAAGCTCTCTGACGCGCTGGTGTCATTCCTCGAAGCACACGTTAACGAAATCCTCGGAAAGGAAGGTCTCGAAGGATGCTACCGATTCCTGCACGAGTTTGTGCTCACGCACAAGATCAGCGAGCTCAGGAGACAGGCCATCGAGCTGAGTCGAAGCACATGGACTGGCACGTTGATGGTGGAACCTCTCAACAGAGCCTTAGCCCTACAATACTGGACCACTCGATACGGAGCCAACGGACCAAAGAGCTGGGTCATGATTGCAGTGAACAGTGCCAAGAAGACGAATGGGCAGACTGATTCGAAGCACTCCAGTCGATTAGTTGCACGCTGGTACCGGGACAACAAGGAAGTCAAGGATGTGTTCCTGCCATTTGATGTGGACAACTTGTGTGCCGAAGACCTGCTCAAGACAGCAGTGGCCAGACACGTTGAGCACATTCTGTCATCCATCCACACCAAGCTTCTATCATATCCTCGGTTCGTCAACAGGGAGTCCTCGATGACTTTGACAGTCTCTCAAATGGAGCCGATGGAATCATCCTTGAGCATGCAACTGGGCCCTCGGGATAACGTTACACTCCTTATACAACCCATCACTGGATTCGCCGCGATCAAGCCTCACGCGAAATATACACTACAAGGAGAAACCCGCCTCAACTACGGCGGCAAAGACCCCGCAGAGGACGGAGTTACCTGCCTGGAGAACATCAGATGGGGCTATTTCATTGAAGAGTGCAGCCGTAGAGGACGAAGTGTGGGCTGGAAGACTTGCAAGAGTCCCCTTGGTGGCGAAGACATCAAGCAAATCATTCGGACTCGTGAGGCATTCCAGACTATTTTCATGCAGCGCCAGAGCCTAGATCAAAGTTGGTTCGTTATGGTGTCCTTGAGCCTGAGTGGCGACGAATGGTGGCTGCTTGATATGTAAGTTTACACTCCTGAGAGGCACTGGATCAGCGATACTAACGATGATAGTGACCGCAACACGCCAACACGTCCACTCAAGTTTCATACCAAACTACAACTCACTCGAGGGCAACCAGATCTGGATGATGCCTTCTGGTCTCACCTGACACTCTTTGTGACTGGCATCGTTCAACAGGCTACTGACTTGGAACACTTACATAAGGGCAAGATCCAATACTTGATGAAGGAGTCTACTAATTACGCACTGCCACAACAAGTACGGCTTCCGTCTCTGGTCATCAAGCTGTCCCAGATCTTGGGGTCATCAGAATCAGGCGCACAGGATGGCCCCAAAGACACCTCGAGGCAATTGGGCAAACAGGACTCATCTTGGGCGCAGGATCAGGTCGAAGTGAAGTTCAAGGGACTTCAAACTCGGCCTACAGCCGCCCAGGGCCAAGATGGCAATGCTCCCTCGGCTGTGGAGGTGCTTGAGAACGCCGAACTCAACACTATTGTTGACGCCATTGTCCGGGTCAAAGACAAGACTAAATTTGCACTGCTCAAGGGCCGTATCGACCGCAACGTCTCCTTCAGTCCCAAGAAGGGCGAATTCATATTCCGCATACGCTACTTGGTTGGGCAACCTATTCTAGAGACTTTGACAACCCATGTCAAGTCTATTGATCGCCTTGTAGGCTTCCTCGAGGCCATGAGCAAAGCAAGGGGTTCTGTTAAGTGCGAAAGAGTCAGCCTTCAGCAGGTCGTCTTCACGTACAGCGATATCACAATGCTAGGCGAGAGCGATCAGACTCAGAAGCCAAAACGCTGGAGGGTATCCCTCGACTTGGCTAAGAGTCAGATTAGAATGTCCCTGGAGAAGGGGAACCCGCACGCGAGAGTTCTTGACCTACTCACGACGTTGGTGAATACCCAGGACGGACTCAGAGTCTTAATCTTTTATATGCCGGTACTCCTCCCAGTTCTGAGGACCCTCGAGAGCATCGAATCGAAATGGGAACCCCTCGAAACAACCAACCAAGGTCGCGTCGAGGTCTTCACCAGGTCCATCGACTGGATTGCTCTTCGTTATACTCTGCCTAGTCCGACAGGCGAGCCTCGGGTTTTGGTACTTGAGATACGAAGCAGGATGCGGCGCAACGAGATGTGGTGGAATTTCACTCGTGCAACACAGGGCGTGGTGGCCCCTGATGAGGAGTTCAACAAGATCCTGAAGGGAGTTTGGGAATCTCACGGCAATGGCTGGAGAGGTCTTAGGACGAGCGCAGCCTCGCGGCCTGGCCCAAGCACCATGGAGTTGCTCACGAAGCTCGACGACCTGGTGCGAGCATACGCTGTGACTGGTGATGTTAGCAGCGCACCATCAACCGAGGGCCAACCGACACAAACCAGTCAATCAACTTCAATCAATCAGTCTTTTGGAACGCAGCCAACGAGCGTGAGCCAAGGGAGCAATAGGAACGGTGGAGGAAGTAAGCAAGCGCCCTTGGTCCTCGATTGAGTGCCTGCAGGCAAGAGACACGGAATTAGATGCAGGGAGGGGAGCATCAGCGTAGCCACGTGGGCAGAGGGACTGCCCAACAGCGTTGCATAGACCTTGGCCCAGAAGAGGCGTGGTTTGGATGCGACGGTGTATTTGTTTTCTTCTTCGATTCTTCGATTCATCATTAGTATTTAGTGACGACGTGATACCAACGGGACGGGGTATACGATGCTTGGAAGCCAAGGCGGTTGTGAAGCACGCGCGCAGAGGAGCGGTGCCTGTAAAAGAAAGCCCGGGCCGGTTTGGCCCAGGGACCGGTAGATGGTTCCCCCCCAAAAGATACCTCGAAAACATTCGTAAAGTCAATCGTGTCTGTCTGTCCTTTACTGCGTAGCGTAAGCCTTTGGTGGCGATGTATTTTCATACAAAGGTGACCCCCTCCCCCCCCTTTCTACGTACGGAAAGAAAGGGGGAGCTTTTCTACGTACCTACATGCCTGCAGTAAACAAAAGAGTAATCTACTCTCCTTCTACCATTGGTAACCCCCTTTATCATGGTGATTGAAGTTTATCATGAAAAGAGAACACAGAGAGTGCAAAGGTTTTGGAAAACTAGATTAATTTCGACAATGACAATGATAAACAGTGATGCAAAACACGAGCTCGAGACATGATTGGCAGCAGGTTCTCATGTCTTACAATTGTTACTATGACTGTCTTTGGAAAAAAATCATGAAACAGCAAAGTCGACGATGCTTCTTAGTCTACATTGATGATAATATCTCAAATCTTAGATAGTACAAGAACCCAGACTGATGATACAAGTGGATAGACAACTCTTCAACACGTGGGCAAACACCTTCAGCCCACGTCTTCTTCTTTCCTCCCTTTTTAGCGGATATAATTCCTCCACCCAATCTTATCGTCGATATCACGCCCAAGGTTACGTAGGTGCCACCGAGGCGACGAAAATATTTCAGTGTTGCCCTCGAACTGCCCGAGACCCGTGTCGCCGACGTGCTCCTGCGCAGACTGGGCAATGTGTACGGCGACGTCGTAGCCCGCGCGCAGGGCGCCCATGACGCCGATGCCCGTGTAGGAGCCGCCCGCGACGGTGAGCTGGCCCTGGAAGGCGTCGCGCAGCTCGTAGCTCGCGTGCGCCATGCACTTGTAGTGGCCGACGTGGTGCTGCGGGATGCAGTCTTTCGCGAGGTTTGCCATAGCGAATGCGGGAGTGGACTGGGGGATGCCGAGGTGGCGTTCGACGACGGCTTTAGCCATCTCGATGCCTTCGGCTTCGGTGGGGAGGGCGTCGTCAGGGAGGCCGTCAAAGTAGTGGCCGCCCATGAGGACGAAGAATTTGGTGCCTTCGGGCTCGTCGGGGGCGCGGGGCACGACGTCCGAGTCGAAGAAGACGCCGAGGAGGCCTTCGAGGTTGGAGTCTGTTGCGCGGGGGACGAGGTAGCCGACGCCTGGGTGGGCGGCGTTGAGGTTCGGCTGCGGGTACCAGAGATTCACGGCCATGATGGAAACGTTGGGGGAGTTTGCAAGGGAGGGGAGGGCGTCTCCCGTCGCGGCGTGGAGGGCTTTGCTGGTGGTGGTGGAGATGACCTTGTCATATGGTGTTGGGGATGTCGAGCTTGGTGATGAGAGCTATAGGGGGGGTAGATTGCATGTTAGCTTGTGGTGTTGGTCGGAAGGGGGTTTCCCAAGAAAAAGAAGAAATGTTCAGCTCACCATGACCTTCTTGCCCTTGTTATCGTACTCCAGGCTGGTGACGGGTTCGCCCATCTTGAACGTAACATTCTTCCTCCTCCTCAGGTGCTCCGCAATAGTATTCGGCAGACTGCTCATGCCCTTCTCGAAGAAGACGAGCTGATCCTTCTGCGCCGACGTCAGGTACTGCCGGAGCTCCTGATCTTGGCCCAACGTAGCCATTATGCCAACCTCGCTCCGGGGATACGATACAAAGTCGTCCTCCTTATACGGTCTGTCGAAGAAGCGGTGCCAAGGCCCGGGCATGAAACTGCGCATGCTCAGCTTATCGGCGTTGCCGCCCCAGATGCCGTGGATCATGGCCGACGCGAGGTTGTTCGTCAGCTGGGAGCGTCCCGTGTAGGTGGCGATGAAGTCGGCGACGGACATGTCGGCCGGCTTAACCTCCTCGCGGGCCTTTTGGCGGCGCCACATGAGGTTCAGGAAGCCCGGGATGATGCCCTTGAAGGCGGCTTCGCGGAAGACGTTGCGCGGGTGCATCTCGACGAGGTGGTCCGGGTAGTAGATGTACCGGGGCGGGGACTTGATCCCTAGGTATTCGCCTTGCATTTGGAGGTCTCTGATCTGTTTGTTTCAAAAGGGGAAGCTTCTGTTAGCGAAGAAGGGGTATGATAGGTCTTCGCGACGAGAGACTACGAACCATGTCGAAGAGCACGAGATCATCGAACTTCCATGTATCCTTGCCCATACCGCGCAGCGTCCTCGGCCCGCGCTCGAAGCGCACATTATTCTTCTTTCCATTGACTTCGACCTCGAGCTCCTGCGTGTTGATCCAACCGCCCACCCGGTCCCCCGCCTCGTATATGGTGATGTTGGACGTCTCGGGGAGTAGCTTTGCCAGGTAGTGCGCGGTCGTGAGGCCGGCAATGCCGCTACCGACAACGGCGATGTCGGTGGGGACCTGGATGTTTTTTGTAAAAATTGGTTCTGCCTCTTTCTGGCTTCGTCGCCGTTCTTGTCTCGCGACCACCGTGGTTGTCGAGAAGGGTCGTCGCGCCGGCACGATGGCGGCGGCGGCGGCGGCGCTTCTGCCGCAGCCGCCGAGGGCTGCACTGCAGAAGCGCTGGGAGTGGTAGGACCTCAGTAGAGCCATGAATGCATCGTCAGCTCTTCTAAGCACCATTTGGTAAGGTCCAATGATCCGAAAAAGAGGTGAAAGGAGAAGAAAAAGGAAGAGAGTGGTAATCCGAGGTTGACCGTTGGTAAAGATGTTGGTGCTGCAAAGTGGCGTCACGAAATGGACTGGGGTCTTGCAGCAAACAATTCCGTACCTGGAGCTAGGGGTCCTTGGAGCTTGCGGCCCCACCACCTCGAACCAACATCAACTGCCAACATGGGCAGCTTTGACGTCTTGAAGGCCAATTGCTTTCCCAGGATAGTCAAAATCAATACTAATGCAGACTAGAATTAAAATGAGAACCTTTGTATGCTGTTGCCACAGACTATTATCCTAAACGTTTATAGTCTAGGTAGTTGGCTTCCCGGACAGTCAGATAATGATTGACACACAAGATATCGAGGAACAAAGACCAGAGAACATAGAGTGTGGCTACTAAAGAGGACAGCATGTTCTGCCTCTAACACTATCAGGGACCGCAATTTATGAGGCCCTCTGATTCGCTTTATTTCAGCTTGCCCAAAGCCCAGTCTATACTTGAATAAGAGAATAATTGCACCCGCAAAACGCCCAAAGTGCCATATCGCTTTCGGCATACATCATCGTCCAATTATCATACAAGAAGTCGCCGCTCCCATTCTACCATCGGGGCCTCTTCTTGGAAGCCTCCTAATGATCCCAAAACTGAACTAGTTCACAGTGATCCTCCTAAGGGTATACCAGGTCTGATGCGAGACGCCAATCCGAGCCAACTGCTCTCCTCCAATCCACCGCCCCCCGTCTAGTCAGCCTCATTGCTGGAGACAACGCTTCTTGCATGGCGTTAACTCTCTGCTGAGAGTTCGCGTTCCTGAGGGTTTACGTTCTCGTATGAGCGCCTAGCTGATCACTTCCTGCGCATTGCTCTGCTCTTGGTTCACAGCGTTCTCTGAATCGGGGAGAATCACTTCTGCTTGTGCGTTTGTGTCGACAAACTGACGTTCGCTTACGTGGTCGTCGACACCCTCGGCAGTCCACACCTTGTCCTTGAAGACGCCCTGCTGGCCTTCCTCGTGGGTGTACATGCAGTGAGGGTTTTTGCAAGGGTTGAATCTACACTTGACCTTAACATGTGTAAACTTGCAACCCGTAGTCGTACACCCAGCACCGTTACGGCACAGCGGCATCTCGGGATGCTTGAAGGGGCATCTCGGATTCGTGCAGTTGGGGAAGAATTTGCAGTCTTGCTCGCTCTGATGCGCCAGTCTGGCTGCTGGAGATGGGTGCCGTCCGACGCACTTGCGGTTCTTGCATGCGGCACCGAAAGTGCATACATCGTTAATGTCGACTGTGGTGCCTGGCGGTGCCGCGGGTGACTGATGCGCAAACTTGCACTCGCCGTTAGTGCAACGGAGGTTGTACTTGCAGACAGTCTCGTCGGGGTTGGGCGGTTCGCGCTTCGATTGTGACATGTCGACATCGTCTCCCTCTCCGCCTTCCGTCATCGCTGAATCTTGCTTGTCTCTGGATTGATGTTGTCGGAAACCGCCGCGAGAATTTTGAGTGCGATCGAACAAAGACTTGCCGCCACGGCGTCCACCTCGTCCACCACTTTGGTTCATAAGCTGCTGCTGGAGTTGTGACATCATCTGCGCCTGTTGCTCCATCATTGCCATGAGGTCCATTTGTGACGGCTGTCCTTGCGGCGGGGGCATGCCCCAGCCTTGGGCCATGGGGTTCATTCCCGGGGGGGCACCATGTTGACCGTTCATTCCTGCCATCGCGTTGAGGCCAGCTTGAATATTCACTCCACGGTTGTTCATGGGTCGTCCGCCGCGTCCCATACCGCCTCTGGGGCCTGTAGGTGGGCCTCGGGCATGGGAGTTGATTCTGTCGTTTCCGCGAACGCGGTGAAGAACCGAATCGCCAGACCTGTCCATAGCCTTGGTCATGTGGCCCAGCATTCGCTTATCGCGACCACCTCGGGGGTTGGGACCATTTCGCATGGATCGCGGGCCAGTCGGGCTACAGCGGGTTAGTAGGGTACGGGCTGCGGGGGTAAATTAGGGAGACAAACGCGTTCAATTCATTGCCATCACCTGCACCCATGTCGGTGTCAAAGTCTCCATTTCCTTGAGACATGCCAGTCATAGCATCGGTAACGGAAGGTTGGGTGCCGTTGAGTTGTGCGTCGGTCTGCTCAACCTGTTGAAAGAGCCATGCGGCGAATTGCTGGGCGCCCGCATCTTCGGGACCCAGACCAAGGAGATCAGCCGAGAGTTCGGTGGCAATCTGCTCCTGCGTGCGGCCGTTGACGAGCATGAGAATGATGTATTCGACGAGCGCGGCATCATCGTCGGAGCCTGATGCCCAGCCGGCCTCGATCAATTTGGGCTGGATGGCGGCGCTCAAAGCATCCGCCAGCGGGGTATTGAGGACGACCTGGACCGTCATATTGATTGGCGCCGATATGGCGAATATCGCGTGAAGCTTCGAGTGCAAATGCGACGAGTCGTGGTGCGTTCAGTTTTTTGAAGTTGAGCTGCAGGACCAGACGCGTTGCCGTCGGGAAAGAAAAGTCGGCGTCGAATACGGCACCGGAGACTTTAGTTGACGTGTTAGAATGCGCGCGGTAGTGGAAATCGCTTGCGCCGGGGTATATGGGGAGCAGGCGATGATTCCGGCAGAGGAGAGTTGGTGATGCACAAGAGAGCAACAAAAGAATGTTGTGTATGGTGGAGGAAGTGAATCGAGGTAGGTGAGGCAAGAGAGCCAAAGAACGTTCCTGAGATGACGGAGAATTCAGAGCTGGGCCCACAACAAAGCCTTTGATTGGAGGAGATGTAGTCTAGTCACGTGACGGTCTGCGCAAAGAAAGGCGGTGCAAAGCCAACGTCCGGAGGTTCTTCACTGCAGAAGGAGAAGGTTCAGGCGAATTCCAAGTGTGGCTTGCCCTGACTAATTCAGGCACGCGATGCGCCTGATTATTCAGCGTAACGGCTGCACAGCCACCGGCTCTCTAGCCTCATTTCCCCAGGAACCACCCGACCTGTGTGGTTCCGCTCCTTCCAGGCAGGTTGAACATACATCACGGTGTCCATTCCACCTCTAGATTATTCCAGCTTCGCCCGCCCGCGATACCTCTATACTGAATAAAACTGCTTCATTCTGTCACCAAGGCCTGTGTCGTAGCGGGGAATGCCGGCGCATCTGAACGAAATGCCCGCACACATAGGTCCCGGGTTCGAGTCCCGTCTTCTTCTAGTAAAAATCCTTGCATCGTTACACCTGAGGCTGGTAAGAGTCTCCTCGGATCTTTCGTAGGCTCCCTGTTACAGGGGCCGAGCTTTTTGCATCTACGGATGCCTTGAACTATGGCGCCTTACACCGCCATTGCTTCCAGGCAGGACATAACACCAGTCACTACCAAAGATATTGGTTAATATCTCACTGGCAGGCCAGAGTCTGTCTCAAAGCCCCCACGCTATATGGGTGGCAGCTGAAACAGGGTGATGACAAAGGAAAGAGCTCTCTACTTTCCCTCTCTATGTATGAGAGTTGTGATGAGACTGCGGCGACCAGAATCTTAATCTTAGTGTCGAAGATTCATAGATGTTTTCCAGATCTCTCACTGTCGAGGTCCGAAATGCAGTACGATGCCCTTGTATGTTCTTGCGGCATGTGTCGGGTCTTGTAAAAGATAAGAATCTTACATAAGGTAGGTAGGTAGGTATGGTTGCAGATGGGACCGCCGTTGATGTGTGCAAGCTATGGGTACCGACCCAGCACCCTCCACTCTTGGCTTTTTGCCTTGGCTTGCAATGTGCGTCTGGTGACCAGCTATGGTTTCTCACTTTTTTTCAGACTTCTCTCGCTGAACATTGACTGCAACACGCGTATCCAAAGTTTGGTCTGCCGCATTTCGAAAGCCATCGAAATGCTTCTCTTACTGTTGCCGACTGAGCGAGACCGAAAGAAAGGCTTTACGAGAGAATACTCTAATTACGTTTCTTGTTTCCTTGTCGATGGAGACAATGCCGCCCTTGGATCGGAGGTTTCTGTGTGCTTGATTGGTCGGTAATTAAAGTTGTTTGGCCGTAGGTGCCGTTCCCCGCCCCCTGCTGCCATGACGGTTGGCTCCCCTGGCCTGGTTTAGGTCCTTGGCTTGGGGGAGGGGGCTTCTGCCGCGCCTCCCCTTGACTTCCTCCAGCTCCTCCTTCCCCCTCCTGTCATCCTTGTTTTCGTTGCTCATGACAGGCGGTGTTGATGATCCTAATGCCCGCTCTTACCTTCAGGAGTCCCTGCGTTGACGCTACTTTGACCTTTGACCAGATGATACTAGCAGTCAATCTGTCTTGTTCCTGTCAATCTCGAGACTTCATGAGCATTTGTCACCTGTATCCTTATTGAGCTTGGTTTATCTACCACCTTTGTCGCTTCTCACGCGCTCTCCCGCTCTTAGCTGCGCTTGACACTAGTTTTATTATGAGAGCATAAACCAACATATCGACCATCCCAACGCCATCGTCTCCTGCAGAACCAGCATCTTGTTTCTTCGGTTCTTCTCCGCGCCTCCCGGCTTCATCAGCTCCTTTAATCACCCGGCGTTGGATTGGCGTCAAAGCACAGCCGCTGCCTCTTCTCATCCGCCCTGCGCCTCTACTCCCATGAAGGCATACCCCTTGTTCATCGCCACCAACAAACGAATCATAGCCTACTATTTTCCCTAGATTATCAGGAACCGAATACTGGGGGGATCAACATATTGGATCGTACCATTGCCCCAGCCCGGTCTGGCACGTCGCATCCAAAGTACGGGGTACATTTACCTTATAAGGCCAGTTCGTCGGTCTACCCAATTTCGAGAAGCTTTGATTTTGTTCATTCCTTTTTCTCAACCGCATGAGATCGACCAGGCCTGAGGATTTCTCCCTCCCCCCATCAGCCAGCCCCTCCGTCGTCAGCAGTAGCGTGGGTCGTCAAGCGTACAGTGAGCT